GTTGTCAAGCAGGAACGATCAGTCACTACTATAAAATAATTCCATTAGCCATAAATTTTAAAAGTATATAAAAACAAAAACGAAAAAAAAGAAAGATATATACATCGATAAATTAGTCAGTAAATACTGAAGAATACTTTATTTTCGCTTGGAATTTATTTTCGCTATTTTTCGCTGAAGGGATGATTCTGTGAAAATAAAATCCAGCGAATATACTTTTTTCCCCATATTTCACATTAAACTCATCAAAAATCAGTGAAAATAAATTTCACACAAAACGCCCAAAAAGCCTTTTCAGCAAAAATTAATTCCAGCGAAAATAAAGTATTCCACAGTAGCCTCAGAGTTGAACATATCATGTAGCATACACTATAAACCGATTTAATTAAGACGAATTTTCATGAATTTCATGAGGAATTTTGTAACTGTGAATATTTTCTGGGCAAATTTCTGTCTTTATGATTTGCCAGAAAATCATCAAATCGCAAAAATTCATAGAAGCGAAAATGTTTATGTATAAATGATATACAGCAAGTTTTACCTTAAATCTTTAAAATAAGGATGCCTTATAGCTTGCTTAGCTGATATTCTCTCATCAGGATCATATGTACAAAGCTGATATATAAGATCCATACACTCCTTAGACGCATGAGGTAGTAGTCTTTCTATACCAGACCCACTCTTCTGAGGAAAATTAAAATTCATTCCTCGGTTTTTACTGCAAATGAGAAAGTAAAAATAGATTATAAAAAATAAATAAGACTGTTCATCTAAAATTTAAATTTATTATCAATATTCAGGGCAGTTCATATTTCCACAATCAAGAATCTTCTCAGTTTGGTCATAGTTGTTAGTCAGATAATGTGTGCTGGTTTGATTTACACAGCATTTTTGAATGGCGATACTGATTGATAGTATGTTCAGAGGTGCTGGAGTTTAGAGATGCTATGGATCATGTTGGGATTTAAAATTATAAATGGAGCTCTTCATCATGAAGAGATTATGAATTCAAGTTGAAATTACCACACAGTCTCAGCAGACTAGTAATGCTGTGTGGAGAAGATATATGGGCTTTGTCCATTCACTCCTAGTCCACATTGCTTTATTCACGATTATTAACATAGCGAAGATGACATCCAAAAGCTAAGAAGAAAAAATAAATACAGGAAATACTGCCAATTTCTCTGAAAACAAGTATAGTGACTTACTTCCTAAGTTTATTAAGTACAGTGTTGTCAGGTGTGCCCATAATGTCATGGATTTTGGCAATTTGATCTACTTCATTAGAACCCGGAAACAAGGGATGTAAACTGAAATAAGAAAAAAATGAAATATTCAATAAATTCATATTTTCTCAATGATCACTGTAGAACTGAAAGGAGGAATGTGTATTGATGTACTGAGTATAGTAAAAGGGTTGATAATTTTAATTAAATTTTTAATTTCAACACTTTTTTTTCACTCTAAAGAAGAATAAATTAAATTAACAGCACTCAAAAATCATGACTGCCTAGATAAATTTCCTTTATATACTTTTTAGAAATTTTGGCCTTGAAATTGGGAGCCTTTTAAATATTGAGTTCAATTACCATGTAATGAGTAAGTATAGATGACATAAGACATATATAAGAAGAGGTCATAGCTGATTCTCCGAACAAGTCTCTGACAAATGATGATAGATGATTAATGATAGTACCTAGATTCTTACACGCTACATGTGGTCAGTATACATCTCTTCCTAAAACATTTTGTATAACTTATCAATTCACATAATAGTGTCTTACCTCATTACTTCAAATATAACACAGCCGACGCTCCAAAGGTCCATCTTATAAGAATAATAGCCATCTGTAAGTAGACACTCTGGTGCACGGTACCACCTAGTTGATATGTACTCTGTGTAAGGAGGTTTCGAATAAACACTTCTACAGGAACCAAAATCAGCTAACTTTAATACTTCATCCTATTTGTGGCAAAAAAAAAAAAAAAAAGGGGTAAAGGTAATAAAAATTAATAAATATAATAAAATGTAATTTAACATTGAACAAATCAATATACATGTACCGTACAACACTATTCATATTCTGCCATCAGAATTACAAGAGATGACACAGGTTTCCTCAATTGTAAGAACCGTGTGAATTCAAGTAGCTATACTTTTTTTTCCTGCATGTAAAGGTTATTTACACAATACAACATTTGCTATCAATCGTTCAACGCCCCTATGTATAGCCAAACACTACTTGAAGAGTCACTGACAATCAATGCTCAGACTAACAAACACATCAACTCACTTTAATTAAAATATTCTCAGGTTTAACATCTCGATGAAAAATACCATTCCTGAAATAAAAAAATGAAGATATTAAAAATTTCCCCACACAGTAAGTATGTATGAAAATAAAGCTTCCAGGGACATTCACAGGAAATTAATAACTCAGGAAGGGGAAACTAAAAAAAGAAGCATATTGGCATGGTATAGGCAAGTATTCAATTAAACAATGTACAGAGGAACAGCACTTATGCTAACTAAGGAACTTGTCGAACACAGTGAAGCGGGAATTTATGTCACCTTTTGACATCATCTGTACACACTCACATTCACAGCGCATCTAGGTTTGATCTAACACTAATAAAAACTTACCGATGCATGTGATCAACTGATTTCAATAATTGATACATATAATTTTTTATTTTCTGTTCTGGCAAGTAATGTCTTCTTCCTGGCAATGAAAAAATAAAATAATATTAGGATAAATATTTTTTTATATATAGCTTGAGGAAAGATAAATAAATATAATGACTATACGTGTCATTTCTACTTGTTTTAGAAGGTTCATCGCAGGGAAAGAAGTGTTTTTGCAGGAAAGTAAATAAGAATAACAATTCACATTCAGAACTTGTGAAGTACTCTGTACTATCATAACATTGTTTTTCCAAGCATGACATTGAACAAAAGAAAAGCCATATGTCCCTGTTACACATTTTCCCCGAGATTACATACAGGTCCCACATGTCCATACAACTATATACATACAAGATACAAGAAGTTTGAAAAAAAAAATCATACAAACACATACATTTGTACATCAAAGTGATGTTCAGTTCCAAAGTTAAATGGCAGTCTGTCAACCATTGAATCACAAATGGTTCAACACATTATACTGTAAACCAAAATGATAGAAAATCCAAACCAGTGTTCCCCCTAGGTAAATTTGGCAGTAAGCAATATTGCAATTTTATTTTTATCTTGAGATACACCATAAATCAGGAGTATTTGATTACAAAATGTCCAGTAAAACTTCTCAAATGATGTGGAAAAAACACCTTTATAGGGAACACTGATCATAATTATCAATTTTTGACCAAACTATGTACCTGTAAAATACGAAAAATTATGCCCTGATAACATTACAGTACCGGGGGTAAATTCTATTTGTGAGTTACGTTAATACACAACTGTAAAATAGTTAGTTTGTCAAACTTCAGATTTCTGTTAATTTAAATTATTATTAATTAATAAGATAAGAATAATTATAAAAATCCTGTATATGACACACAAGTCAATTGTACCTTGCTGTGATTTCTGGGTGCTTTGTGCTATGTCCATTTAAAATAAAAAAAAGAAAAAAAAAAACATTTATAAAAAAAAAATTAAAGCAAAAAGGTACATTGAGGCCATACAGGTATTTTTGGAATCGCTGAAAATACCCTAAGTCATTTAAGATATACATGTAGTACCATATCAGGAACACAATAAAAATTAATATGCATATGTTATGCATCAAACTGTTTTTGGAAATGATAACAATCAAGTATTACAATTAGGTAATAACGGTTCACTTTTAAATTGCAATTTTTGGCATTTTCTATATACCATAAATTAATCAGATAACAATGCATACACACATAGCAAGGGATCTACTGTAGCAACTGACCATTCACTGAAACTTTACAATCAAGAACAATCCAGTGACCTGGACACAGAAATAAATATAGCCATTGGCTGAATGAATGTTTGCTGAAGAACAACAAATGGAAAATGGCATAGATAAAAAAAATCGCCTGTAGCGTGATTATAAAACAGCCACAATTTGTAAGGTGCAAGTGTGTTGTCTTTGATAATAAAAAAAATAACAAAGAAACATACACTGCAGTGGTGCTGTTGGGGAAACTGGGATTAACTGATACCGATGACGTAAATTGATGTATCTACAGTTTTAAAACTGGTGAACTTTTATTCAAATCACTCATTAACATATATCAATTGTAAGATCACCACAGTAGTTATGCAGATTTTTGTTTAAACAGACAATGTATTTTAAATGCATTGTATATGTTACATGGAACCTGGTCAAAAAGAACGGCACACAATGCCATGACAGTCACTTTAATGTAAAAACAGTCACCGATATAAAGACCAGAAATTAATACCCACAATTAACGATAAGTGAAATAATGATCTCACTCCTGCTAATTAAAACTTGTTCTTTGCCTTTCATTACAATTGAGTTTTAAATAAATAAAAACCTGAATAGATTGTTGTGAGGATATAGTGCAGGACAGTAATAATGTTAATTATGCAAATGATGCTATTGATTTGCATGGATTGCTGGGAAAAAAATAAAATTTTGCAAATAAAGAAATTTTAGATTAGTCCAATGTATTCTCTAATTTTTAATTCAGATTTGTTTTTTTAAAATAATATGAAACAATTTTCAGTCGAAAGAATCAAATCAAATTTAGAGCATTTCGTTAGTTAAACTCATTTAAGCCCCAAAGTCAACTTCCACAAAATAGTTTTATTTATAGTCTGTTATTATCCACAGAAAATGTTGACGAAAAATTTAATTTTTTTTTCTCAAAACTAAAACCAATTCCTCATTTTGCTTGCCTGGACCAAAACTAAAATTGATTGAACAAATATTAAATAAATTTAGTCTATTTTGACAGAAAAAAATACAACAAGCTTTAAAGTTTAAAGATTCTCATAACCATTACAAGTAGCGCATTTTACAAAGAGCTTAATCATGTAATCTCGACTTGACTTGACTTGTCTGAATCTCATCAAAATAAATACTTCTTGAGTTATCAGTGGAACAAGATAGCACTTTAGCAGATAGCGTTTTGAGCTCTACACATGAAGGCAGTCATTTTAATTTAATTCAAATCATTCAATAATGAACAAATCAATCTATGGAAACAACAATAACGCATTCACATTCAAATAAGGTCAATTCAGTTCTTGTATTGGGAATGTAAAAAATACATGTTTTAGATACTCTCCTTTTATTATATGAATTTCAAATTGAAATACACCATATGAGACAAGTGCAAATAGTAACAGGTTTTAGCGGTACATGCCGATATTCAAAGTCCATGCAGGTTTTATTTGTAATATTACCAATATACATCATGTACACATTAAAAAAAATGCATATTTTATTTTGCAAAATTTAACAAGCAGCCTGTCGGCTGAAATAGCTCCACTGTTAGTAAAGCACATTTCAATTAAAGAACAGAAGATATCATTAGAAAATGAACAATATGTATAGTACCAATGCAATGGGACTTCAAAAATATCACTTTTCTCCAAAAAAGACAAAAATAATCATCAAAATTAAATAATTGAAGATATCACCATGAAATGAACAAATTTGAAAGTGGTCCACATGTAGTACCTATATATGTAATATCAAAGCAATCGAACTTACAGTTTTCAACAAGAAGTCGAAAATATCACTTTTTACCAAAAATGACAAAAATATTCACCAAACTTAGAGAACTGACGATATCATCACAAAATGAACAAATCTGAGAAAGGTCTACATGTAGTATCTATATATGTAATATCAAAGCAATTGGACTTGTGGTTTTTAACAAGAAGTTGAAAATATCATTTTTTACCAAAAATGACAAAAATATTCACCCAAATTAGAGAATTAAAGATATTATTACAAAATGAGCAAATTTGAGAGTGGTCTACATGTAGTACCTATATATGTAATATCAAAACAATTGGACTTGCGGTTTTTAACAAGAAGTCAAAAAATATCACTTTTTACCAAAAATGAATTGAAGATATCATCATGAAATGAACAAATCTGAGAGAGGTCTACCCAAGGTACATATACACTAAGTATCAAAGCATTCAGGCTTGTAGTTTTCAAGAAGAGGTCGAAAAAGTAAAACATTGACACGGACGACGGACTACAGATGACTGACAATCACTCATATGATAAGCTCAGCTCGACAAAGTCCACATCTACTGACAAATTAAGATTGAAAACCAATAACGGTGATCTACCCCGGTTGTATTCTTACATGTAATCTACCTGTAATAGTGCATACATACATACATGTAGTGATGTACGAGTTACGTACGCGAGACCTGAACATAAGTAACGACTAAGCTTGAGATACACGCATTAATCACTTTCATATATCCTCCAAATAGATAAGAAGCATGTTGACATTTATGGCAGTCTGTGAGCAGCCATATATGTCAGAATAATACATGAATGCATTCACTGTAAGGCTGTGGCAATTTGTAAGGAAATGGGGGACAACAATGCTCCAGCTTGAAGAGCCTCGACTCACTATGAAGATTGAATTTCTGCGTCTGCCTTTTGTGTTTGCTTCATTCTTTCCTTGGTGGACTGCTATCCCCTAGTAACTTTCCATTGTTAGGGTGCTAGAGATTATGAATACATACATTTATATGCAAGGACATTGTGACATTTTGGGTTCAACATGATTATCAATGTCCTACTTTATTTTGGAGGCATTTCACAATTTACACTAAAAAAACATAAATTCAGTGAGGCAGGTAACAATAACGACAATTTTTATCAAGTCAAATACCAATTTAAAATTATCCGAAGACAAATTTAATAAACGATAAAAGTGTTCAGAGCTATATTTACTTAGATGTTAATCAACATCTAATCTTGTGACTAACCGTGAAACAAATAAATGACATAACCAATGATACTTTATTATTGTCATGATATGATATGACATAAAAGAGAATATTAACATGGTGTTGTCTTTCTCAAAATCTGTTCACATTTTATCTCATCAAGACGACACCAACTGCAACAAATGGTTTGAAAGCTGCAATTAGGATTTTGTGAAGAAAAAAATTTGTTTAAATACTACTGAAGCAAAAAACATAATGGAACATATGGAAACAAACCACATAATATTATTTGAAACGTACATAAATAATTGATCAACCAAACCAAAGAGCCATTTTCGTAGAAAATTCCTCTATGCATTCTATTTATTTTTAATTAACCTATATGGATTGGAAAAATTATGCACCATATTCTATTTTATATTATCAAACAATTTGAGAAATATGAAAACTGGGGAGAAAAATAAGTTTGCATTGATGTGTTGACCACAAATTGATTGGTATGGGCATTATTTACTGTTTGACTCCTGAATGTGTAACAAGATATGGCATTTGTTATGCAAGCCTTGATGTTGTTTTATCGCCAGGTATATTGGATATCCCAATATTGATGGCCGGTTACTGTAATATATAGAACGGTAAGGCGACCTTTAATAAACAAATACTCCTTGATGCAAATACCGATAACACAATTGTCATACGCCAGTTGGACCGAGAGTTCAAAACCAAGATACAAACATCCAAATCTTGCTGAGATACATCACATTATTGTTCAGGTTTCCCTATTATATTTGTTCATCATAT